CATTACTGGTGTACGTTCTAATGGCGCATCATTACAAGGTTTAAAAAATCACGACTGTTTTAAGATTTGGTTCTATTCTAAAAAGAAAATACCTAACGAGATACTAGAACCAGCCTACTAAGAAAACGATACAAAAGCTTGTAATTAAGTTAACATTATTCATTTCATTTACACTAATAATTCTGATTGATTGACTACAAAATCAATAATATAGAAATGAGGAAAAAAAGAAGGGAAAAAAAACACTTAAATATCAATTTACAGAAAGTGAATAGATCTAGCAACAAAAGGAAGTATTTAACGCTATCCACTGACACAGGGAAACTATATTTATATGTTTATGCACACAAATGTCAAATGGTGAATAACATTAACCCTCACAAATTATGTATTTCATAATTTTAGTAATTTTTGGAAAAGTTTGTTTGATCTTTTTTTTTATTCATGACTTGTAACATGTTATAGGTTTATTTTCATTTTGGGGGTGGGGGGGGGGGGTTATGTGCACCCAGTTTCAGGTCAATTGGAGATCAGAAAGTGAATCAAATTGAGATGCAATATTGGACTCGCCAAAGTTACTAATGGTTAGTGGAGGTCACTGCTGACCTTCTGATCATGTAAGGTTTTTTGCAAACGGCATTATGTGCAGAAAATGGATAAAAAGGTAAAGTCCATCGGACGATGGGGAGAGTTAAAAAAATTCAAATACAAGATTTGACGCTGACAAATAAATACACAGACAGACACAAACTCAAGCTAAACATAAGCGCGTAAGAAAGAGGAATGCCATGAGAACACACATCGCAGATTTTAAAAAAAGGTGACTGATTCCACTTGACCTAAGTGGGTCGCACGTGTTGATGATGATTTGAAACGTAGCTGGAGCTTTACAACAGGCATTCTTTTGCCTAAAGCTTGCAAAATTTCTTATCGTACAGAGGAGCAAAACAGTTTTTTTTATAAATTTATTTTAAAAAATTGAAACGCAATTTAAAAGTATAATTATTTGGAGATTTATCATTTTTTGAACTAACATATGAAAATTGATCTTTATTTTTCAACTGATATGTTGCACACCTCTTCCACCACCTATGTCATCTTACTAATATACCAGCTATGGCGTCACTTTTCTACCTGACAAGCAATCTGCAGAAGCGGAAGTGTGCACGAAACTCGTGAATCACTTTTCTACCAGCTAAATGGTCTCACTTTTCTACCAGCTAAATGGTCTCACTTTTCTACCAGCTAAATGGTCTCACTTTTCTACCAGCTATGGCGTCTCACTTTTATACTGGCTATGTTGTCTCGATTTGAAACCAGTTATGTCGTCTCAATTTTCTACTTTTAATCATGTCTAGCATTTCCACCAGCTTTGTTTTCTCACTTTTCTACCAGCTATTTCGTCTCAATTTTCTACGAGCTTTTTTGCTCACTTTTCTGCCAGCTATGTTGTCTCACTTTTCTACCTGCTATGTTGTCTTACTTTTCTACCAGCCTACGTGTCTCACTCCTCTACTAGCCATGTTACCCATCATTCTCATAAGCCATATGGCTTGTGCATGCATTTCTAAATCCTAGGTAATAAGATGAGTCTATGAAAATACTCAACACATTTTTTTTCAAACAGAAAAACCACCCCCCCCCACCCCAACTCTCACACACACACACACACACACACGCACACACACACACACTTTTAAAAACACTCATCTGAATTTTTGTTTATTTTCTCCGAGTGTGAATGAGTCAAATTAAATTAGTCCGGAACCATATGTTTAGTCCTTTTGAATGTCCACAGAATGGTTCGCGTCTCTTTCATTTGTTTTCACTAACAAAACACACCTCTGATCTGAAAGGTAAAAGTATCTCAGCTTTAACTCACTGGATGTCCATTGAAAGAGATTAGGCTAATTTGCGGAATTTAAAATACAATCTTCATATATATTTTTGTATACGACATGATAAAAACTATAACTGAATCCATCTGTAAAGAAAAGTTTATCGATATGTAAAATCGTGTCTAGGGCCTTGTCTATGGGTTTTTAAAAAACAGAAGAAAAAAAACAACAAAAAAACAATATGAACAGCTTTTATTAAATGACAATATTTAATCGATTTCAATCGAATTGGCTGATTTTGGATTTAAAAAGTTATGTTGATACATTTGTATGGTCAAATAAAATGAACATTAATTAATAAGACCTGCACCGGCCTTTGGTACAAATGGGAAAATATGGTATAAACAGCACCCGGTACAAATGGGAAAATATGGTATAAACAGTACCCGGTACAAATGGGAAAATATGGTATAAACAGTACCCGGTACAAATGGGAAAATATGGTATAAACAGTACCCGGTACAAATGGGAAAATATGGTATAAACAGTACCCGGTACAAATGGGAACATTTGTTACAAGCGGTGCCTGATACAAATTGGAAAATATGGTACAAAAGGTTCACCAAACTTAAGTCCGCAGCTCTTGATTGGTCAAAAAGAATTTAATTGTTGTTAGAATGTTAACATATGCCGTATGTACAGTAATCATGAGCCATGTTGCAGGATCCTTTAACCTATAAATATGAGGACATTGTAGAATGTTTTCTGATTTTGTGCTGTGTGGATAAGTTGAAAAGGCAATGGATGAACCACGCTAAGAAGGCTATATCCCCACATTAAAACAAAGTCGATGGCTTACCGTACGTTTTTCTCCTTTCATTAGTTAGTTTCAAACAAGGTTACTTGAATCATCTTGTAGACGACGTAGTTTCAAACAAGTTTTGATTTTCCATGCTTAAGACATGGATTTTAAAAATAGATCGTTCCTATGTAAAATGGTATTATTCAGATCATAGGGGAGTCTTATTCATCACATTGATTTTATTTTTATACGCCATATTAGTTTTCCTTTAGTATATAAAAATTAAACTGTCATAGCACATTACCCAATAATTATAATTTTGAAGAAATGAACATTTGTTTTTTAAAATTTAAAGGACTATTTAGAATTTGTATTTAATTCTTTTCGTTTTATTTTTTTTTTTTTTAACCTCTGAGGTAGAACAAGTTTATTTTACTTGTATGATTTCATTAGACATAAATATGCATACCTATCGATTAAAACATTACCCAATAATTATAATTTTGAAGAAATGAACATTTGTTTTTTAAAATTTAAAGGACTATTTAGAATTTGTATTTAATTCTTTTCGTTTTATTTTTTTTTTTTTTTAACCTCTGAGGTAGAACAAGTTTATTTTACTTGTATGATTTCATTAGACATAAATATGCATACCTATCGATTAAGATACATTCAGTAAAGTGCGAAGGAAAACGAGGGCGTGGGGGGCGTTGTTACCAAGGGACGTCATTGTCAGATATCTGCAAAAATGTTTGTTTCTTTTGTGAAAGGGGTTTAAAAAATCTTTGAATGTTAGCGCCACGGAAGAAAAAAAAGAAAATGCACTAAAAAGATTTCCTAAACTAAATGCTAGAAATGAATGTCATTGGTCTGCTATTTGTTCCTACTGTCCATGGTGGGCTAAAAGTTTATACTGTCAATGCTAGTCTAATGGTCCATATTGCCTACGGTAGGCTAATCTTTCATACTGCCTTCTGTAGGTTGATTGTTCATACTGACATATTCAGATGTCTGCAAAGTTGTTGTCTTAAAATAATCAACTTACGTGTACTAATTAGCTTGGCTGAATGTTTCCGAGTTTTACCAGACTCAAAAAGAAAAGAAATGAACAAAGTTTGATACATTTTCATTGGTTTTCAAAACTGGTCATTTTGTTAAAAACTTTTATAAAAATGGTATTATTAAGTAAAAAAGACATGAGTTGTTTTAAAAAAAGTAGAAGATTTTTCTTTTTATTTCCTCGGTCTACTTTTAAAGGTTTTATTTAAATTTATAATCTCTTCATTTAATTTCCACTGAATATACCTGTTAAGTATATTAACGCCAGTTATATGGCCAGATTAACAGGTTAGTTTTAATAAAATAAGGTATTTAGCTTTGGGGCTTTCTCAGTCTTCGGCAAACCGCAGCTTCGGGGCCGGATGCAGCTCCTTTTCTATTAAACCATAATAGTCCTTATTACATTACATTGTAAATCCTAGTAAATAAGGCGAGTCATATACAAGACTAAACACAATTGTTCAAGCACATTACCTCGCTCCCCCAACGCAAACAGCCATCTGAATTTTTTTCATATGCTCGGCGTGTAACTGGTTCTGAGAAAAAAAATTCTGAGCATAGCAGGGCCAAAAATGACCAGCTCCAAATCCTTGTTTGTGAGCCATATGTTTAGTCCCTTTTGATGTCAAAAGAATGGTGCACGTCTTTTTAACTTGTTTTTTTTTACGCAGAACAACACACCTCTAATCTGAAAGTAAACACATCTCGGCTTGAACTCGGTGAATGTCCTTTGAAAGAGATTAGGTTAATTTGTGGAATTTAAAATACAATCTTCATACATATATATTTTATAGGGCCTGATACAAACGTAATCTAAATCCATCAGTATAGGAAACTTGTATCGAGATGTAGAATCGTGTCTAGGGCCTTGTCTATGGATTTTTTTAAAAATATACTCTAAAATAAACTGAACAAGAAAAAAACAAAATTAATGGCTTTCAATGAATGATAATAGTTAATCGATTCCTATCGAATTGGCTGATTATGGATTAAAAAAGTCTTGTTGATACATATGTATGGTCAATAAAAGAAGAATACTTAAGAAGCACTGGCACCTGTCCCTGATATAATGAAAAAAAACGCGTACAAATGGTCCCTGGTACTAATAGGAAAATAAGGTACAAATGGTCCCTGGTACAAATTGGAAAATAAGGTACAAACGGTCCCTGGTAAAAATGGGAAAATAAGTTACAAACGGTCCCTGGTACAAATGGGAAAATAAGTTACAAATGGTCCCTGGTACAAATTGGAAAATAAGGTACAAACGGTCCCTGGTACAAATTGGAAAATAAGGTACAAACGGTCCCTGATACAAATGGGAAAATATGGTGCAAACATGCCACCAAACTTTATGCCGCTGCTCTTTATTTGTCAAAAAGGATTTAATTGTTGCTAGAATGTTAACATATGCAGTCTGTACTGTAATGATGAGCCATGTTGCAGGATTCTCTCACCTATAAATTCGAGGACATTGTATTGTGTTTTCTGATTTTGTGCTGTGTGGCAAAGTTGAAAAGGCAATGGACGAACCACGTCATGAAGTGTGTGCTCCACACTGGACAGAGTGGGTTGAATGGCTTCCTGTCTCATTGCCCCCCCCCTTTCTTCAGTTAGTTTAAAAGCGAGTTTACTTGGGTCATCTCGTAGGCGAAGTAGTTTCAAACAAGTTTTTCGCTTCCATGCTTAGGACATGGATTTTAGAAATGCATCGTTGCTATGGAAAATTGTCTTTTTTATTCAGATCATCGGTAAGTTTTAATCATCACATTGGTTTTCTTTTCGTATAAAAAATCAACCTCTCATAGAATAACCCAATAAGTTTAATTTTAAAGCAAAAAACATTTTTTTTTTCTACTTAAGTGACTAGTTACAATTTTTATTTTCTCCTTTTTCTTTTCTTTCTTTTTTTAACCTCTGAGGTAAAACACGTTTATTTAATGTGTGATTTCATTAAACATCAATATAGATCTCAATGTATATAGAAATATATAGACACACATATATATATAGACATCAATATCAATTAAAATACATTAAATCAGTGTTTCCGAACTTTCGTTGTGCCATGCCCCAACAGAGGGTTTCTAAAATTCGGTAGCCCCCCCCCCCCCCCACTTTTTTTTCCGTGTATCATATACATAATTTTTAATATTCCAAACTAGGATTGTTCATTGAAGAAACTTAAATGATAGATTTTAGGAAGATTTCACTAGGAATTCGACGAGGAAACATTAGTAAGTACATTTTCAAAACATTTAACGGAGAACTGAAATTCAAACATGAAATAGTTTTAATGAAAGATTTTTCTATATTATTTTAATTATTAGTGATTATTTATTATTTTAATTTAGTGATGTGTTTGCGCTTGATGCTTGAATCAAAGGAATTGTATGTTAAGTTCCAAGGAACTGTATGTTAAGTTCCAAATGAGTTAGCTCCAGCCTCAAGCCAACCAGTTGCGTTATATCCAGCCGATTTCTTTTTTTTTTCTTTTTATTTCCAAATCATATATTGACCCAATATCCACATTCAGCTGCATATGGAAACATTAACAATAGTTTCCTTGTACATTTGGTTGAATTTGGATATTTTATTTGTTTCCTCACAAATCAAACCATCGCTCCATTTATATTTAAAAAAAAAAAAAGATTTGACTGACTCACCATTTTGCATTTCTGCGAATTCTTCCTAAAAAGGCATATTTGATATATCAGGCAAATTCACTGTCATAGGCAGCATCATCCAAGTTGGATTTTTCTTTTAAAGGAGCCGAAAGCATTTTCAGATTATCGACAATAACAAGTATAGCGATATCCGTCACTTCAGATTTTTGGAGCCAATGAAACTTTTCAAAATTGTTGTTGTAAATATTTTTTCTGACGTAATTCAATAAAGGTAATAAAACGAAACATCTTTGCTTTTGCATCAACAAGAATTTTATTTAAAATATCATGATAAATAACTCAAAAATGTTTTACCATCCACCGTTGACAGATACTTCATTTCTGGTTTGTCAGTTTAAAAAAATCGCAAGAGTATCAAATAGTTCCATAAATCTTTTCAAGCAATGCCCTTTCGAAAGTCTGCAATTTGGTCTTCACGAAATAGGCATTAGCTTTAATAGCGTTGATACACTTTGTAACTGAATTTACTACTTCATTTAGAACAGGCCAAATGTTTTTAGCTCCTAAGTTTTCCCTATGAATAACACAAATGCACAAGTAGCATTTCTGGATTCTCCTCTTTCATCAATTTTAAGCAGCCATTGTTCTTGCCCATCATTTTAGGAGCACCATCTGCAGCACAAGATGTTACAGTTTTCATGTGTTACATTATTGAATTCTAAGTAATTGTTTTGCTTTTTATATAACTTTGGCGGTGATGGTGCTTTCTAATGATTTACATAACAAAATTTCGTCAGCAAAACACCCTTTATCAATGTTTCTTACGTAAGTTATCTGTACAACCTCACTGTCTCTCAAAGTTGATTCATCCATTTGCACTGAGAATTTTCTTGTTTTCGGCTTTTCAACTAGTTAAGTTTCAATACCTTCACTCATTTCGTGTATTCTTCTCCAAACAGCATGGTTACTGAGTGACTTAGCTTTTATGTCTTTGCCATCTTTTTCCAGAACCGTTTTAATAAATGGTGATATTGTTGGTTTGATTAAATTATCTTCTGTAGTGGGATTTTACCCAGATTTAGCTATGAGTACGGAAAATTCATATCTCGCCTGAAGAGTACGATTGACATTTGTATTATGCGCAGTAAATAAAGAATTTAATGAAGCTCCTTTTTAAAACTACAATTTAAATCATAGTAGATGGTTAATTTTCAATTTCTAGACAGGTCACTTTCGAATCGCCCCCTAAACAATTAAATTTCACCCTGTGGGGCTTGGGCCCCCACATTGGGAAACACCGCACTGAATAATGTGCGTGGGAAAATGTGGGGGGGGGGGGCGTACGGAGGGATCTCCCTTTCAATTATCTGCAATGGTGTGTTGTTGTTTTTTTTTTTTTAACCCTGTGGGGCTTGGGCCCCCACATTGGGAAACACCGCACTGAATAATGTGCGTGGGAAAATGTGGGGGGGGGGGCGTACGGAGGGATCTCCCTTTCAATTATCTGCAATGTTGTGTTGTTGTTTTTTTTTTTTTGTGTGAAAGAAGTTTTAAAATCATTGAATGTTTGCACCACAGAAGAATAATAGAAAGTGCACTAACAAGGTTTGCTAAAGTAAAGGCTAGGAAAAAAATGTGATTGGTAAGCTAATTGTTCATACTGCCCACGGTAGGCTGATTGTTCATACTGCCCACGGTAGGCTTATTGTTCATACTGCCCACGGTAGGCTTATTGTTCAAACCTTCCCACGGTAGGCTAATTGTTCATATCTATCACGGTGGGCTTTTTCTTCATACTTTCCAAATACAAGTCAAGAAATTAGTTTTGTCTATTCCTTTTTGAAAAAAAACAACCTAGGTAGTAAACAAAATACATAATCCACAGTTGTTTTGTTTGCACACATTTTTATGAGCATACTTTAAACGGCGCTAAAACCAAGCTTGCCTGCTACGTCCGCAACCCTGAGACCGGCCCTGCATGATTTTAAAAAAAAAAATTATTTACATTTTTCCAGGTATTTTTTTTTTTTTAAATTTTAAATGCATAAAATCTGGATTGACTTTAAACTGTGTTTCTCCATTGACTGCTTGTCAGAAATAGCAATTTAAATGTAGTCGGTGTGTTACGACAGCCGTTCTTTTGTTTACATTCTGAAACTCATGCATGACCTCTTGCTGACACTAAGTTTGGCCCTGCGAGCGGTGTGAATTAATGACACATTGTCTCCCTTGACACTGATTACCATTAAATACATTCTAAAGTCTGTGGAAGTAGAAATCTGTCAAATGTACGAGACGGGTCGAGGTGCGGATACAATGCTGAACCCCGTTCTTAAAAAAGACTATAAATACGCCTATCGACATAGGAAGGAATTCGCTGCTATAGAGGTTTGACTATTACGAAACGAGACGAAGATTTGTAGATTAATATTTACTCTCTGTAAATGTGTGAGTGTACCTCTTTTAAACATTGTACCGGTACAAGTTCATTGCCGAACTGTCAGCCAACAGCGTTAATTTTATTCTAGTTGATTTTTCTATTGAAAAATTATCTTCATAAATTATTACTTGTAATTAGTCCTCGTTTTGGTATCATTTTTTTTATTATTGTTATGCACTGTTTATCAACGAGCCATATAGTCAAATAAGAGATTAAATTCTCTCGCTACAAGATAGCAGTACGTAACACAGTGGTCATGACGGAAGCATTTGAAAATAGACGAACTACGAAAGGATTTTTTAGAAAAAGGTTATCTAAATAGCTATGTACTGTGCGACGGTATTTCATTGAGCTTAAAAACTAGTTTTACTAAACTTGTAACAACTCTGCAGACCCTTTGGTATTCGTGGTAGAGTCGCCTTTTTTTTTCTTCTTTTTTTTTTACTTTCCTTTCCGTTTAATGCTGTATTCCGTTTCCATAATCAAAATGTATTTTTTTCCAATTTCGACTCACTCCAAAGTCAAATATCTGATTTTTTTCCTTTCTTCTTTGTTCTCTGTCTTTTTTTCCGTTGAAATTGTTCAGCGAAAACGTTCTTTTTGTTGATTTTTCCAAGTTTCTCCCCTGGTCTGTGAGTTACATTATTCAAAATTGCTTCAATCTGGACGTAAGCCTTACCCCAAAGCCATGGTACACGTAACAAGAATAACAGTTTTTTGTTGTTCTTCTTTTATTTTATGTGAATTAAAAAGGGGGTATTTAAAAAGTAAGTTTTTTAAATCATATATTTGTAATACGGCATTATTAAAGAAATAACTAAAATGTCTCGATAGGTTTTATCCTTGGCCTAATAGCATTTGGAACAAACTACCTGGCCTCCGGGTTTGGTGCGTACAAACATGATCGCTCGCGGGTTGAAGTCAGTGTTGGGCTTTGGCAATACTGTGAGAACGCCAAGTGTGCTGCTACGAGTGATGTACTGGTTGCCCACGACAGAAGTACGGGTAAGTGACGCTAGCAAATGAATGGCATACGACAGAAACAGGGGTAAGTGACATGAGCACATGAATGACATAAAACAGTAGCACGGGTGAGTGACATTTGCACATGAATGACATGCGACAGGAGCACGGGATTCAAGCGTAGGGACAACACAGAAGGTTTTTGCAATATGTGACAGGGAGAGAAATACATAAGTACCGTAGTTCCAAATACACTCATTACTGAGAGTAAAATCATCAAGTTGTTATATAATGGTAGACTTCATCATATGACTCCATTAAAACACAAGCCAAGTTGGATCGATTACATTTAATCAGCCGATGATTATTCTGTTATTCTATAACTTGGGTACCGTGCGGAAGCAAGTTGACAGAGACAGTTTTCAATAATCAGACTTTGACAGGTTTTAATCTCCTAGACGGACACTTTTAAACAATGAGGCTATGACGAGATATGGACAATTACAAGGACAGCTTCAAACAAGTAGCTTATGTCAGGTTTTAATCAATTAGACTAACATTTAAAACAATCAGATTGACAGTTTTAAACAAATAGACTATGACATTTTGAAATAGGTAGACTGACTGGTTTTAAACACTTAGACTGAAAGCTTTAAACAAATAGACTATGACAGTTTCTATGACAATCTGCTTGATAACTACGATCAATAATTGGGGCTGCACCACTTTCCTTGGAGTTTGATCACAAAACGATAAATGTTAACATAAAGCAATCTTTTCAAAATTAAAAATAAATCAAATTTTACATTTTCAAATCTCCTATCTTTCCTTCTCTCTCTCTTTCTTTCTCTCAATGTGCTGACGTCATTAGTTTGGTTGAATGCCAGTAAGGTAATGATGGGGTTGTCCCTCGTCGGAGAATTCGTCACCATCATTATGACATCCCTGGTTATCTTCCTAACGCTGACCAAAATTGTAGGACAGGGCACTTTGGTGGTTGCCGGGATATCAGGTATGTTCCTGTCACGTGACGCTGTAGTGACTGTACGTGCAAATTACATAGGGGCAAATTAAAAACAATTTAAATTTTAGTAAATATAAATAAATCAGTTCATCCAGTTATCGTTGATTAACATTCGAATAAAACAAACTCCTCGCTTGAGGAAAAAACCAAACTTATTTTATTATTTTGTGAAACAGTTATGTAATGGAGACATAAAAGTTTCACAGCTTACTAGGGGAGTCTAAGAGACACAAGACCGAAATGGGGGAGTTACCAGCAAAAATGATATGAATATTAATAAGGAATTAGCTCTCGTAAACGCACTCTGGTACTGAACACTCATCAACGACTTTACAAATAAAACTAATGAAATAGCATCATATATAAATGAATTAAATGGGGTATGTACTTATAAAAAAATTTAAAAAAAAAAACAAACTCATATCGCTTTTGTTGTAAAGAAATAAAATCAAATGACCTATAATTAAAATATGTCTTGAGCAATAAGAACTAAATTACTGAAAAGCGTTGATGGAAGGCGACTACTTATATCTATTTGTGTTTTCATTAAACTACATCATCATTTTAACAGCCTCGCGTACATTGATGCTTTCGTTTGCATTTCATTCCAGTGCTGTTCGGCGTCATAGGAGCTGCTGTCGCCGGTGGAGAGAGCAAACGTGTCTTCAACGACATCAACGGTTCTAACATCATCACATCTGCGTGGTCATTTACCTTGTTTATGATTGTCCAACTCCTCTATTTTGTAGCTGGAGGTCTTTATTTTTTAGACCTGAGATGGAAGTCATAAAAATCAAACCGATCGCGTACAATACTTGGACATTTACTATAAATGAAATGGAAAGGAGCGGCGTCGTGTTTTCTTCCTGTGACAATGTGTTCAAACAGAGATTCTGCGGACATTCGCTGTACGTCTACTACAGAAAGCTCAGTGCGAGAGTGCCTGTTTGTAAATGGTTCGATTAATCAAAAGGCAACCACACAATGGGTAAACGGTAAAATGTAGAGTGTAGAGAACAAAGTGTAGAAGGTAACGAGTAATATTTAGATGGTGGACAGTACAATAAAAGAGGGTAAAGACTGAAACATAGATAGTAGAGAGTAAAATGTAGAGGGTAACGTGTAAAATATAGAGGGTAAAGAGTAAAATCAAATAGTAAAATGACTAAGAGGAGCGTCACGTTAGGTTATTTTTTTTTTTTGGTGTACTCATTTTTCATAAGCCTCTATAAGGGTGGTTGGACATGAGATTATACTTATAACATTGTTCAGGGGCGTTCATAATGGGTGCTTCGGTGCACACCAGGGTTTACAATCTTGTGGTTTCCTTATTAATTTTAATTAACAACTGTATACAAAGAAATCATCCAGGGCACAGCGAGAGGAGGGAGAAGAGCAAGACAGAGAGAAAGATGGGAAGATGATTTCAAAGAGTGGACGGGACTAAAACTAGGGTGATGCTTTGTGAGTCGCAGAAAAACAGAGAGGAATGGAGAAGGATAGTTTCCTTGCCGTCTGTGGCGCCCCAACGGTCCAAGGACTAAGTGACATGATGATGATGATAATGATGATATACAGTAGGAAGGTAGAATCCCATTGTTTATAATTTAGCTTCAAATCTGAATGTAGTAAAGCAGCGTCAATGAATAGATGGATGATGTTTTATGTATGTAGTAATGTATCATAATAACTATTTGTTACACGCTCAATCAGTTCTGGTCCTAAACAGATTTCCTTTATTTTAAATATAATTATTACAAGGTGACATTTTTTATAAGCTCCCTATTTAAGTTTCTGTCCTGAATTTTCTAAACAGAAATCAGATGTAAGTGTTACAATTAAAAACACTACAATGGAAAAAATGGCTTACGCAAATTCATTAATGTGTTAATATTTTATTTCTCAATATTTGTTTATAGTAAATAAAGTTTTTTTTTTTCCTTTATATCTCAAATGATTTCAAATATGTTCATTCTTGTGTCTTTATGGTATAATATTAAATATAAAAATTTTATCTACTATATGCTTAAGAAAAAATATTTATGTTTGCACCGCATACGTTTCTACAGGGCATAATGGATCCTGTCAAACATGGGATACATAGTTATTGCATTTCGTTATCAGAAGAAAATTGTGATGGGGTTGGATTTTTTTATTGAATATACCGTTGAAGTTTTGGAGCGCAAATTTCATTTTTGTTTTTTTAAATGGTCTATATTGGTAAGCAGACGACGTGTTTACGTCATCTTTCCCCGTGAATGAACTCTAGCTGACCCGAAGCTCGGAACCGCAGTTTGGACGTGGCTAACTAAAAATAATCTGTCTTGATCTTGTTTACGACTCAATAAAATCTGTAGCCTGTAGCATTAGAATTCCGTAAAATAATCTAGAAAAATCAGACAATGTGTAAGCCGTTCAAGAAATGTCTCTGAAACAGGCTATATATATATAAGAGTTTTGCTATACGAGAAAGATATTCTTTACTAGCTTAAGCGTGTGTGTTTGTAGATTTCCTTTTATCATTACAACTTTTACAACATTGTATCCTCTTCAACATTGTACCGGTACAAGCCAATCATTATTCTGTAAGTCAATAGCTTCAATTTTATTTCTTTTTGATTTTATATTTTATTATTAACTTATCAAAATGTATTACTTGTAATTAGCCCTAGCCTGGGCATCGTTTTCTTTGTGATTGTGTTTACCATATGGCATCGTCTTTTGTTGTGTACTGTTTTAGAACGAGCCATATACTTAAATAAGAGATTAATTTCTCCATACGGACAACAGTGCGTAACACTATATATACAATTACAAAGACCTAAAACATCTAGACAAAACTTGGTTCCTGCACTTGAAAATCTTTATGGAAAAACCAGTGTTTTCAACTCACGATATTCACCACTGTCAACAATAATAATTTCATTTTCCAAAGATGCGCTAAGCCTCTTACATTTTTCAAATGATTTTAAAGGGGCAGATTTAAAATTAGAACTTGACTATTTATCTGATTAAAAAATAACTAAGGATCCACATTATAGTAATAATGAAAACTTCACATTGAAATACAATACCCAGACGTGTCCCTTTTTAAACTTTTTTTAAAAACTATAGATTTACGGCACTTTTAACATTTTTAAAAGAAATATTTAGTCATGAAGTAATGATTACATAAAAGAATCTTTTTTTTTGTAGAAGTAAGTTATTTGAAGGTTTCTCAATATATATATATATATATATATATATATATATATATATATATATATATATATAATTTTTTTCTTAAATACAATCACTTTTTATAGTATATTTAATATATATATATATATATATATATATATATATATATATATATATATATATAATCCTTATCTTAACTACAATCACCCATTATCGAATATTTGCAGTTTTAAACGATAAGCGTGATGGCTTTGGCATTGATTAATATTTATTTTTCAAAAGATATCTTTTTTCTAGTTTGATTTGTCTTTAAATCATATTAGTTTGTTGTTTTTTTTAAACTGGGACCAGATTGAAAAACAACTTCAAACGGGTTGGATCTAAATTAAATATTTACAAGAGTTTTTTAAATCTGGATTTAAGGAACATTAAAAATTGTAGTTTTATCACACTGGGTTGCCAGGTCGAGGGTAGTCATATTTAGGGGTGGGTGGAGAATTTGAGGATCAGCGTAGAGCTGGAAAATATATATTTTTTTAAATATTTTTTTTTTGCACTCGTTACGGAAAAAATTACTGGAGATATTTTATTTTGCTTACGTGGGGTAGGGCAGTCGGAAAGGGGGGAGATTGTGGCGTGAGAAAAAATATTTAAATTATTGTTTATAGTCATGAAAACCTAGCTCTACGCACGAAACTACTTAATGTTCTTATTTAAACAGCCAAGACGCTAATACTTGAACTGTTTCGGTCTTAATTGTCCAAAGATTTGGATTGCACAACGAATGTAAATGGGTGGCGGAATGAATCCACAACCCCCACCCCCCACCCCCCCCCACACACACACCAACTTTAAGGGATTGGGATGTTGGCGTGCAATGAATAAGTTTGTCAGACGAAGGGGCTGTAGTATCGATTTCTTTTGGCTGGGGCAGAATGTCAATCTGCAGACATTTATCTTCAGAGCTAGACTTCTGGTCTAGGAAGCCCAGAAATTATCGAGCGTGCCATGCTTCGATTATAATGATAGCATTATGTCCTTGAAGAATCCAATCTATAAATCTATACAAAAAATCCACAGCTAACGTTTCCTAAAGCTTTCATAGTTAACTGACAAAGTTGTGGAAATCAAAATATGAACATTAATTTTAACATACATTTTCAAATGATTCAAAAATAAATTGAGTTAGGGAATATGTGCCCAAATTTGTGACCGAAGATGTGATCACATATGTGATAAAATTTACTGCCTTCTGGGACATAAAGATCTTTCAAAAATCGAAGAAGATTAAATTCCTTTGCAATTGATCGATTCAAAATCTTAAAAGAGGAAATAATGTTAATTTCTGTTATAATCTCCAAATGATTAATAAAAATCCTATAAACTTGTGATACTATTCAATAAAATGGCCGCCCCCTTTAAAGCAGAGATTAGACAGAGGATTGTCTTGAGATGCCAACTCAAAGGATGGGTTTTGAGATTTTCAGAGAGATTAGAATTTGAAATTTGCAAACCATGACCCTTGTCTTTTTTAGAAAAGCTTTTTTTAAAGTCAACAAATATTCTCCGTCGTCATTTTTTTTTCTTCTTGAAATTCTGTTTTACGAGCCACACAAAACAAAACGTGCAGTGCAGTAGTTTACCATTGATGTGGCTGGTGTGGGTGCAAAGTTGGGCACATTACATACAGGCTACACCGATTGGCATTTCTCCAGGTCCGTTAACTTCGGCTGCCTGTAACATTTGATTGTCTGTCTTCCCATAGGAGGCAGAAGGATCAATTTATTGATTGGTGGGCCCTCAAAATAAAGAAGAAGAAGAGATACATCTTACATAAACATAACTCGCGTAAATCTCATCAGAATCTCCTGGACGCGGAGTCTCAAATTAAGCAATGCAAATTCCCCCCCCCCCCCAAAAAAAAACAAAAAACATCCCTTGTGACAAAATCCCCCCCCCCCCCAAAAAAAAAAAACAACAACATCCCTTGTGGTTGCGCCATGCAAGATGGAGAGAGCGATTGTATTTTCCCGTATGTTTGCCCGAGAACAGATCGCCTGCATAATGAGTCCTCACCTGGACTGACAGAGTGGTCAGTAGATAAGTTTAGAAATCTGATTCCTCCGGCAATCGATTTTCCATGACACGTGATGTATACTCCGTTATTTGTAGTCAGTGAGCTCTTGTCCGTGATCTGACTAAGACACTCAAAAATGGGCTTTTCCCATTCTGTTAAAATATACATTACCATAACAGCAAATGCCACCAATAGCAACAGATTTTAAGTGGTGTTGTATCCTTCACGGTCGTAAGCGTATCTTTTTTTTTCTAATCAATGCAATAGACCACACTAGTCATGAACTCTTTCTGCTTCGATTTCCGAAAAGGACGGGTTCCACAACACGTATGAAAAGATGGAGTACTAACATCCTCAAAAAGTTCATTAAACACTATAAATAGACTTTGAAGTATGAAATAAATGTCCACTCAAAACTTTAAAGGTGTTACAGTTATATGACTAAGAAGTATGAAATAAATGTCCACTCAAAACTTCAAAGGTGTTACAGTTATATGACTAATAATTATGAAATAAATGTCCACTCAAAACTTCAAAGGTGTTACAGTTATATGACTAAGAAGTATGAAATAAATGTCCACTCAAAACTTCAAAGGTGTTACAGTTATATGACTAAGAAGTATGAAATAAATGTCCACTCAAAACTTCAAAGGTGTTACAGTTATATGACTAAGAAGTATGAAATAAATGTCCGCTCAAAACTTCAAAATTGTTGCAGTGATATGACTAAGAAGTATGAAATAAATGTCCACTCAAAACTTCAGAGTTGTTACAGTTATATGACTAAGAAGTATCAAATAAATGTCCACTCAAAACTTCAGAGTGGTTACAGTTATATGACTAAGAAGTATCAAAAAAATGTCCACTCAAAACTTCACAGTGGTTACAGTTATATGACTAAGAAGTATCAAATAAATGTCCACTCAAAACTTCAGAGTTGTTACTGTTATATGACTAAGAAGTATCAAATAAATGTCCACTCAAAACTTCAGAGTTGTTACAGTTATATGACTAAGAAGTATCAAATAAATGTCCACTCAAAACTTCAAAGGTGTTACAGTTATATGACTAAGAAGTATGAAATAAATGTCCACTCAAAACTTCAAAGGTGTTACAGTTATATGACTAAGAAGTATGAAATAAATGTCCGCTCAAAACTTCAAAATTGTTGCAGTGATATGACTAAGAAGTATGAAATAAATGTCCACTCAAAACTTCAGAGTTGTTACAGTTATATGACTAAGAAGTATCAAATAAATGTCCACTCAAAACTTCAGAGTGGTTACAGTTATATGACTAAGAAGTATCAAAAAAATGTCCACTCAAAACTTCACAGTGGTTACAGTTATATGACTAAGAAGTATCAAATAAATGTCCACTCAAAACTTCAGAGTTGTTACTGTTATATGACTAAGAAGTATCAAATAAATGTCCACTCAAAACTTCAGAGTTGTTACAGTTATATGACTAAGAAGTATCAAATAAATGTCCACTCAAAACTTCAGAGTGGTTACAGTTATATGACTAAGAAGTATCAAATAAATGTTTACTCAAAACTTCAGAGCTGTTACAGTTATATGACTAAGAAGTATCAAATAAATGTCCACTCAAAACTTCAGAGTTGTTACAGTTATATGACTAAGAAGTATCAAATAAATGTCCACTCAAAACTTCAGAGTTGTTACAGTTATATGACTAAGAAGTATCAAATAAATGTCCACTCA